AGGCAGGAGACATTTTCTCCCTGGTTACAAGCCTCTAAATAACTAGACACCACATCTCGAGTGGTGGGCCTTGGTGGCAGCCACCCTTTTAGCACAAGAAAGCTCTAAAGTAACTTTTTTTTTTTTAAAGATGACTGGTAAGGGGATCTTAACCCTTGACTTGGTGTTGTCAGCACCACGCTCTCCCAGTGAGCTAACTGGCCATCCCTATATGGGATCCGAACCCATGGCCTTGGTGTTATCAGCACCACACTCTCCCGAGTGAGCCACGGGCCAGCCCTAAAGTAACTTTTGAACAACAGTCAAGACCTTCTCAGTCATGAGGCCAAGTCAATTCTCTCCCTTCCCACCTACAACTTATTCACCTTACCTTTATTAAAAACTCCCAGTCTCCTTAAACCTCGCTCTCCCTTATATCCAGCCACTCTCATTCCAAAACACTCATGACCCTTAAAACACAATTGCATGGAGGCTTTAGACCTCTTTCTCAATCCCTTTCCACACATCTCCTCACATCCCATTATGTGGTTCATAGATGGGAGTGCCACCTCCATGCCCACGCCCCAGGCAGGTTATGCCGTAGTAAATCTAACACAAGCTATTGAGGCTGCACAACTCCCAAAGGAGGCTGGGGTTATACACTGCAGAGGACACCAAACCTTCAACGACCCCATAGCCCAGGGAAACAAACTGGTGAATCTAACCACAAAACAGGCTGCTCAGTCACCAGGCTCCCAATCTTCCTCTCCCACTCAGGTCCTTCTCATGGCCCCTACGCCCTTATCCCAATACACACCCCAAGAAATACAACACCTCCAACAGTTGGGGGAACAGAGAAAGGACAATTGGTATACTCTCTCCAGTTGCTATGTCCTCCCTACTACACAAGCTGAGCAAATCTTTTTAGATTTCCATAATTCAATTCATATAGGCTATGAACCCCTAACACCTTCTTCAGCCCTTTATTACTCTCCCCACAAAAGGACACACTATCTTCCAACCTTAGTAGATACCTTTTCAGGTTGGATTGAGGCTTTCCCCTGCACTTCAGAGGATGCTACAGCAGTAATGAATGCTCTCACCTCAGAAATCATCCCTCGTTTTGGCCTCCCCACCAGTCACTCACTCATCTACGGGCTGCCCCCCGCAAGCCCACAGGCCTCAGCCCCCTCAAACTTACGTACGGTAGGCTTTTCACTCTCACACCTCTCCTTTCCAGCTCATCACCTTTAGGTCAGTATCTCCCTACTCTTTCACTCATTAGGGATCTTAGGGAACAGGGCAACCTTCTATTACCTCATCCTTTCCCCACCACCCTCTCAGACTTTAAACTGAGCCAGGGACAGCAAGTGTATATTAAAACCCAAATCCCAAAGCCTCTCTAGCCATGTTGGGAAGGGCCTTACACAGTACTTCTTGCCACCCCCACGACAGTAAAAGTACTAAGAAAAGCACCTTGGTATCACTTATCCTTGGTAAAACTAGCACCTGAGACTTTACCCAAAGAATCTGTTAGCGCCAAGCCAGAGGGGTCCCTCTGCTCAAACCCCAACCCATCATCTCCTCACACTTCATCCATTTTAGGACCCACAAAACTGAAAATCTCCGGGACTTTCCCTCTTCCCCCAATCCCAAAAGAAGGATGATCTTTCCCCCAGCGATTACCCTCTCACTCTTGCAGGCCTGCTTCACATCCGTTGCATAAGAGCTACTATTATACCATCTGTTCTAGTACTTGCTACAGGGTTGGCAGCAGCTGCCCCAAAAGATTGTAACATTATAGGAAGATTTCTCCTGGCACTCCTTTACCTCCTATCAGTAGGATGCTTCTTAGCAATTTCATTGTGGCAATGCGCCCTTTAAATTCTTTTGGCTCCGAAATCCTTTGCATCCTTCCCATGTTTTTCCTCCTATCTCAATGCTCCCCCTTACCCGAAACATGGAGGCTCCAGGCCTGCAGAGATGATGCAGTCCTCAGTGAATCAGACTGGCCCCAAGTGACTCATCTGTCTCCCACTTTGCAAGAAACTTTTTGTGGTCACCCCCCTCCCTGTCAATGCAGCCCACATTTCCACAAATGCTCTTCACTTTCCTCTAATCTCACCTCAGTGGGGACTGTCAGCGTTGTGCGGGACCTGCCCACACTCTGCCTTACTAACACCAAATGCTACCATTCACTTACCCCCTCCTCATCCATGCCCTAAGACTGGAATATATTTCCTTTGTAAAACTACGTTATCCTGTTGCCTGCTCCCCTAACATGATTTCTTGCACATTCTTTTGGCTTGTCTCTGACATCACACTTCAGACAGATGGAGAGATGGAGACAGGACTGTGACTAACTTCGGCCCCTCCCTCTCAGGAAGTGACCCTGCTCCCATAGGGCAGTTATTCTACTTTGTAAATTGGGGCAGGGATCCTTCCTACAACTGGAACTGGCATAGTGGGCCCTGGCTACTGCCTCTAAATTCTATCAAAAACTCTCAGAAGAACTAAGCATAGATAGCATCTCCTCCCTCCAGTGACAGGTCACCTCACTTGCCACACTCGGCTTTACAGAACCATAGGGCCCTTTACTTCCTTACAGCCGAGAAGGAAGGCACCCGCCTCTTCTTGGGGGAGGAACGCTGTTATTATGTAAATGAGCCTGGGGTGATCCAAAACAACTTAAACCATTTCACTGAACCCTTGGATACCCTGGCTTGTGCCCTTATTAGGACCCCTAACTGTGCCTCATCCTACTTTTTGGTCTCTGTCTCTTTTGGTGTTTCTCTAATTTCTGGCAGGAACGTATACAGGCTTTCACCAACCAAAAGGTCGCTGAATTGTTCCTGCAAAGAGGATATCACCCCCTCAGAATCAGCGACCCTTCCCTGGAAGAATACAGCCTCCCCACACGAAACCAATACCCTGCCACCTAATTGTTTTACCTGCCAACATAAATCTTTTATTTTTTTCCATATCTTCACCCATCTCCAGTGGGAAGGAGCTCAGAAGAATGAGACCTCCGCCCTTTTCCCCTTTTTCCTATACTTAAAAGGCAGGAATAATAGATCTGCAATATAACCAGTGCCACTTTAGACAAGCCCAAGTACAAAATGGCACCCACCTCCTCCCCGCCCCCATTCTCTTTTACAAGAAGCCTCATGGGTTTTGGAGAAAATGAAACTTTTGGCATTTCCGCATGCGCAGAACTCTCCATTCCCATGACCTAACTCAATCCTCACCCCGGAATTACATCACCCAGCTCTTGGTGCCAACATACCAATATAAGCTCCCACCGCCCTACGTTAGCTGCTGTCTCCCATTTTCAGGGCAGCCCCGGGCTGTCCTCCATTTTGAGTACAGCCCAGCAGATTTCTTTCTTTAATAAAGCTTGAACAGTACTCAGCATCTTGGCTCACTTTATTTCATACTCATTCATTAATTCAATAAAATAACTTACTGACTACTATGTACCAGGTATGCTTTTAGATGCTGGGCATACAGGTTTGACAAACAGTCCTAAGCCCCTGTGCTCATGTTCCTTACATTCTAGAAGCTTTACTTAAGTGAGGTGGAGCCATTGGAGCATTTTCAGTGAAGAAATAGCACAATCTGACTCATATTAATAGGACCAGTGACCACTCTGGGAATAGTTATGGGTAGCAGTGAGGGGACAGTGATAGTGCCACAATTCAGGAGTGAGAGGGTGGTGGAGACTAAGGTGAGAAGAGGGCATGAGGGATGAGAGGAACAGAGAGAAGGGCTGGAGAAGCGGGAGGTTTGGAAAAGCAAAGGCAGGCTGGCTGGTAGCTCAGATGGCTAGAACATGGTGTTACAACACCAAGGTCAAGGGTTCTGATCTCCATATCAGTCAGCTGAGGGGGGGCAGAAAAAAATAAAATGTAAAAAACTCTAAAGCCATTGAATTTCAGATTTAAACTTACTGTTTTAAAGATTTCTTTAACAAATGTATCTACAGAACATGGCAGGGTGCTCTTTGCATTTGGCATTTATACATTCTGTGGGAAAGCCTAATAAAAAATTGTCTCCTTATGTTAATCAGGTTAAAAAAAAAATACCAAGTGTCCCAATAAAATATGCAAACCTCTTAGATGTGAGTCATTCACAAACACAGGCAACGCATGAGCACTGGTGAAGGGGACGGCGCCTGCACTGAGCACTTGCAGCTGAGGTGGTTCAAGTTTGTAGACACTCCTGGTTGAAATGTACAGCAACAAATTGAGCTACTTTGTACTGAGTATGTGTCCTGGACTCAGACAAAACTCAGGGCTGTGGAATGGAGATAATTTTCAAATACAACAATCCGAGTCACAGTAAAATTTAGGAGCTTTGTGAGTGTAACTGCAATGCTGTTTAGACACATTTATGTATGAAGGGGCCAGACTCTCTTCTTTTACTGATTCGCTTCCTGATCATTCAGGGGTTACCAAGATGGTGCTACCCACTGCAGGTAATAAACAAAAAGGAATCTGATCTCTATGGAATCTGCATCTGCTGAATTCAGGCACAACTTGTCCAGGTTTGTGGGGAAAAACCCTGTCTCTCTATCTCTATTCCCAGGGCGACCTCACTCTCAGGCATCAGTTCCCTTGAGGTGAGTTTTCTTTTAGAATAGTCCAGGGGGAGAGGTAAGGAGTGGGAGGCAGAGCCAAGTTCAGGGAGAGGGATTCCAGGAGAGAAGGGAAAGGGACTGGGTCCAGCCTGGAGGTCTCTCCCTGCTTTCCTCAGACCGTCTCTGTGTCAGGACTCAGGGAGACCATGTGAGGAAGAGCGCTCAGTGCAGGAGGAGAGGGGTCAGGGCTAAGTCCCAGGTCCCAGGGAATGGCTCTCTGGGGCTCAGGCCCGAGGGCGGTGTCTCCTGGGGAAGGCGAGCCTTGGGGATTCCCCATGTCCCGGGAGTTTCACTTCTCCCCCTCACAATCTGTGTCAGGTTCTACCTGTACACTCTTAACGCGTCCCCAGTCCTCACTCCCACTGCGTGTCCGAATTCCGGAGAAGCCAATCACCGTCGCCGCGATTCCAGATTATAAAATCCCCAAGGACCTGAAGGGGTCAAATTCTCACAAAACGCGAGGACTGTCATGGCGCCCCGAACCCTCCTCCTGCTGCTCTCGGGGGCCCTGGTCCTGACCGAGACCCGGGCGGGTGAGTGCAGGGTCGGGAGGGAAACGGCTTCTGCTGGGGGAGGAGCGAGGGGACCGCCCGGCGGGGGCGCAGGATCCGGGGAAGCCGCGTCTCCAATGACCCAGGCGCAGACCCTTTCGCACCTGTAAGTCTCAGCCCTTCTCCCGCCGGCCCTTTTTCGTCTCCCTCGCCCCTCGCCCCCGTTCTCCTCCGGCCCATCAACCTGCTTCCCGGGGGTCCCGCACCCGGAGGAGGGTCGGTCCGGTCTCAGCCC